TATGTGGTATTTAGTTTGGAAAAACAGAGCCTGAAAATAATCTAAAACTTTTTAAGTATTTGAAAGGAAAATGAAGTCATAACATAAAATCATATATTTAATATTTTTAAATATATATATTTTTTTTGTTGTGCTGGAGACCAAACTCAGGGCTTCATACATGCAAGTCAGGCCATCTACCATTCAGCTGCACCTCCAGCTTCCATAACTTCTTTTTATTCCTTCCTTTTATTTATTTTTTTAAATATTTATTTTTTTAGTTGGATACAATACCTTTATTTTGTTTACTTATTTTTATGCGGTGCTGAGAATCCAGGGCCTTGCACGTGCTAGGCTAGTGCACTCCTGCTGAGCCACAACCCCAGCCCCTCCTTCCTTTTATTATGGACACTCTCAACCCATATGATAGTAGAGTGAATGGTGCTTACTATCCAGCTTCAGCCATCATGAACTCATTAACGTTTATTTCTTTATACCCTACCCAACTTCTCCCTTTCTATATTATTTTAAAGCAAATCTCTGTTATCATATTCTTTCATCCATAAATATTTCAGTATGCATTTCTAAAAGATAAGGACTTTTTAGAAAAACATAGCCATTGCACCAACACTAAAGCATTTTCTTAATTTTACATTTCTTGGTATCATTTATAATTCAGTCAGCGTTCAGATTACCCTGACTCTCCAATATAATGTTGTTCAGTTTATCTGTTCAAATCAGGATCCAATGAAGGCCAATGCATTGTGCTATTTATTTATTTAATGGCATCTGGGCTTCAACCCAGGGCCTTGAGCACACTAGGCAAATACTCTTCCACTGAGCTACACTACCAGCCCTATTGCTTTTTGATATTTCCTAGGTTTCTTTTAATGTACATAGGTTCCCCCTTTCCTTCCTCTCTTTCATTCCTTGAAATGTATTTGTTGGAGAAATTAGTTGTTTTTTTTTTTTTTTTTGTCCCACAGAACTTCCTCACCCAAGATTTTTTCATCCCTCAGCTAAGTTACTGTGTTCTTCCCTCTCCTTTAATTCCTGTGAACTGATAGAATGAGAGGCTTGAAGACTTCCATCACAGTCAAATATTGTCTGGTGTCTTTCTTTTTGTGATATTAATAGTGTCTAGATCCATTATTTTATTAGCTTTTGCTCTATGTGCACACAAAGCTTTTTATGGTTTCAAATGGTTTGGAGAATTCATAGTTTCAAAATCCTGGGCTACACTGCTACTGTTAGGATCAGAGAGATTAATCTTAAATTTCAGTAGGAAAGACTTAGGTTAAATATTAGGAAGAACTTGTGGCTCTTAACTATTTTAAAAGCAAATTTCTCAAAAGAAATGTGTAGAAATGGATGATACAAATTTTGTGGTCTGAGAGCTAGATTTTACCATTCACCATCCCTAGAACTGTCAATGAATTTCTAAAAGTAGTGAATGTGAGCACATTCTACTTGCTTCCTAACAACCCTGTTGGGTAGGCACAGGTACATTCTACTGTACATATTTGAAACAAACATGAGTTAGGTGAAGTCATTTCTCTAAGGTCATAGACTGAATAATGGCAGATCCATGATTTGAACCCAGGCAGATGGGCCCTGGAGAGTACATGCTTAATCAGTCCACCTACCACCCACCCATCATTGTCTCTTCTCATTCCTTAAAGAAGAACACATGACTACAATTGTTGCCTGGTTCTTAGGGGTTATCTTCTGCTCAGGACCTGGTGTGACCACCACGGTGCTTGATCTCTCGCCTCTCCTCTCGTTTCAGTGCTCTGTCCTACCTAACCTTGCCTTTGGAGCAGCCTGGTTGCA